CAGCATCGCTATGTGGATTCTCCAAAAAATACAAATAAAAAGTGGATCAGATATCAGAGAAAACATATCGGACATCTGCTTCTAATCTTATGGAGTTTGGAATTTATTTCTACATTTAAAGAGAGTGTTTATTTCTTTATGCTTTCTAATTATTTATCACACTTACAATGGAACGTATTTTCGTGTGGAACAGTGACGTAAACACTTTCTAAAGAAAACGACATCGGAATCAGTATAGAGTCTGATAGTGAAGGTTTTAGGATCGGTATCAGAATCGGGGAAAGATAAAAGTACTACCGGGACATTTCTAGTTTCCTTTTTTATCTCACTACCTACTGACTCAACACGTATTCTTGAAACCCTCTGATTCAAAATCCAACTCTTTTTGTTTCCGCATCTGTGTATCCGTGACATTTCTGAAATGGAAACGTAGTTCCAGCTCTTGACCTCATTTCTATTATCGTTCTTTCTGTACCGTTCTTTAGTAAGCGCTCCATCCTGGTTGGTCAGGGTGGCAGACGACCCGGGGTCCATCCCAGGAACGCTGAGCGTAAGCCGGGAATACACCCGAGACGGTACGCCAGTCTATCGCATGATACCATGCGCACACACACATCCACAGTCACAGACCTGTCAACCAAACTTAGCCAATCCAATCCAATCCAATCCAAGATAATCCAATCTAAAACAACGGGAGGTGTGAGGAAACAAGAGAACCCAGAGGAAACCCAACCAGTCACTGGGAGAACATTTGGAATTCCACGCAGACGGTAAACAAGAGTTGTGAGCTGTGAGGAAACAACGCTATCCGCTGTACCACCATGTTAATGCAATTTTATTGTATAGCGTTTTTAACAATAGACATTGTCACGAAGCAACTTTACGGGGGGGGGGGGGCGACGACAATCAACAGAATACATTGGTTTTTTTGTTTGTTTTTAAAAACCACTCAAGCTCAATTTTCAGAGCAAGCACCAAATTCCAGAACGTTCGGCTGCGTTTGTTTTTTGTTTTGTTTTTTAATCGCTTTTGACAACGTGCTAAAAAAGCAGCCTGAGGAGGTCAAAGGTACAGGAGAGGTAACTACTCATAATGGCTCACGTATGCGGCGTTACACTAACAAAAAAGAAACGGGAAGACGTTTTCAGTTCCTGGGCTAATACACACGACACGACTCTGCGTCACTCCTGTACAGGTCACATCGAAAGACAGAATGAGATTCCAAAAGAAAAAGAAAAAAATAAAAGAAATAAAAAAGTGAAATGATGGTATTTTGGCCTTTCTATTTGCCAAGGTCAGACTCATTCATCACAGCGGAGTGCGCGAAGGAGACTGGAGACTGGACCGAGCATTGAATCTATAATGGAGTCAGAATAGCAGGCAGCGTCGAATGCAGCGACGATGAAGGGTTGGGGGGGCAAAGTATTCAGCCCCCCGTGTACCGCTAACCCGGCCCGTATGATTATACATAGTGATGAGGAGTAACCTTGGGATGGTGCTGATAAAAGGGCCCAAGGAGGGGTGGAAGGAGTCTGGAGTTCAATCAGCAATCAGACAGACAGACAGACAGACAGGCCTGACCAGCATGGGATGAACCATATTCGCAAATTATTTTCATTTCCCTCCTTATATATAAAGAAAACAGCAAGGCACCATTACTGACCCCCAAACCAAAACCCATCTCCATCCCCCCATCCCATCGCTCTACACCCCATGAAAAAATAAATCTAATTTTCCCATCTCCGCCACCAAGCGACATTCCCCTCCTGCAGGCTCTCCCGCTCGCCATCCCTCGGCCCCTCCCATCCCCTCCATCTTCTCATACTGACACACTCTTCTTCTCTCTCTCTCTCTCTCTCTTTTACATTCCTCCTCCAAGCAAGGCTCCATTTTGTAATAAGTTCTGATCAGTGTTTCTACCAATTTGCATTCTGCTCAGAGAAAATGGAGGCATCGTCTTGATGTGGGGGAAAATGGAAAGAGATACTGGGGAAGGGGGGGTAACGGAGAGAGAAACAATCAAATATCAGAATGGATGAGTGTGTGTACAGGAGGGTGCGTGTGTGTGTGTGTGTGTGTAGGGGTGAGTGGGCATCACAGAAACGTGTGTGTGCGTGCAAGCATGCACATGTGTTTGAGCCCATTTTCAGGTAACAGCGGAGAGACATCAGAAAAGTGCAGTGTACCATTTGCTTATTTACATTCAACAACACGGGCTCACCGAGGAGGAGGCGAGACAGGCGTCTGCGTGAATCTGGGAACACCACACTGATCAGTGACGAGCTCGATGTGAAATCCTTCCTGTCTCACTGCTTACTCGTCTATCGGTTTACTAGCAGCGAGGGTGAAATAAAGTGCAGTACGCCATCATATCCGATCAGTTCTGCTGCCAAATGATACAATAATAATATTCCATTTTATTGAATAGAAACTAATCAGATTTACCTCACCGCTGGAAATGCGGGATTAGAAACAGTGTTACTTCTATACCACACACACACACACACACACACACATATATAATAATAATAATAATAATAATAATAATAATAATAATAATAATAATAATAATGATAATAATAATAATAATAATAATAATAATAATAATATAATAATAATAATAACTGTACGTTGTATTGCAACTGTTAAGTAACAGGAAATGACAGAACTGCTTACTAACAAGAAATTAGACATTATTTAGTGAATGCAGTTTTTAACTATAACTATAACTTCTCTAGCAGGACGTCACACTGTGCGTTTTAGTCACACAAACGTTACTCTGTAACCATTCTGTAACAAGAATTTGACATACCTAACAATTTCGTAACGGACCGTTACATCATCAACTGTTCAGGTACAGGAAGTTGTTCAGTAACGCTTTTACTAACAGGAAATGACATTGCAGCTATTCAGTAACAGGATGTTACATAGGTACTCTGCAGTAAGAAGACATTTTATGATGTTACACGGTAAATATTCAGTAACTGGATGTTAAACAGGAAGTTACTTTAGAATTATTTATCAATAAGGAGTTTACATAGTAACTGTTTAGTAACGGGTAACTTTTCAGGATGTTACAGAGCGACGAGTAGGGAGTTTACTCTGTAAGTATTTAGTAACAGGATACTCCATAGTAACAGAGAGTTACATTATTATTATTTATTACCAGGAGTTTACTTAGTAACTATTTAGTAACAGGTAATTACATTGTAACTATTCAGTAAAGCGATGTTACATAGTAATAGAAGGTCACATTGTAATTATTTAGTAACAAGATGTTACAGTTTAATGATTTATAATGATAATGATAATGATAATGAGTCTTTATTGGCCACATATACATATACACAGTGAAAGTCTTTTCTTCGCATACCCCAGCATGTCAGGAAGCTGCGGTCAGAGCGCAGGGTCAGCCATGATTAAGCCATTTCTAAGAGATATTGTAACTATTCAGCATACACAGTAACATAGTAACGATCAAAGTATCAGGATGTCAATGTCTACTCAAGGAGGGAGAGAGTTTTCACACTTAGCTCCTTAGCTCTGGAATAGCCTTCCTGATAATGTTCGGGGTTCAGACACTCTCTGTCATCAAGATTAAAGACAGATTCCTTTAGCCTAGTATTCACATGGCGGATCTCATAACCTTGCAGTCCAGTCGTCTCTGCCTGAAATGCCATAAACAGCAGCTACGCTAATGCTTTTCCTTTTGTTTCCTGTTCCTACCTCAGGATGCCGATCCTGAGGTATTCGGTGAATGTGCCAGCTCCGGTTCATGACCAGCCTCGACGAAGATTCCAGATGACACCAACACCTGTGAAGACTTTGGATGATACCCACGTTTAATTGTCACAATCACAGGCTCTACGTGTGTTGCTCCTGGGGTGGCAGTGAGCCTGGCTCACTCTGCTCTCTGGACCAGCCTGATCCATCCTGATGACCCACTTCTACTTGGAAACCACACGCTGTTCCTGAGGGTGGCCCCGTATGGACAGCCTAAAGACACAGAAACCATAAAGATGGCACTGGACTGCAATCGTTAAGGACACTTTCGGTACGATGTCTCAGGACATCAACTGCTATGACAGTGTTACGACTGCAGGGGACACAAACAATTGCACAAATACACTTTGCACTCGAGCTTCCATCGGTAAACAGTTCATATCGTCAGCCAAATAGACTTCATGTTAACACTATAATGCATTTCTTAATTACACAGTGGCACGTTTCGTTTCATCATGTAGCACACAGTTATTGTTTGCAGTATAATCCTGTGAGGACGGGTTCCCTTTTGACTCAGGGTTTCTTCCTCATATCGTCTCGGGGAGTTTTTCCTCACCACCGTCGCCTCTGACTTGCTTCCAGGGATCAACGTATCAATTTAAAATTTAGATCGGAAGCGTATATATTTCTGTAAAGCTCCTTAGTGCCAATGTCCACTGTTAAAAGCGCTATCCCGATAACTGAATTGAATAGTAACTATTTACTAAGAGTGAGTCACATTGTAGTTTTTCACTCACATGACATTCGACTGTAAATATTGAGTAATAGAAAGTGACATAGGAACTGTTTAGTAACAGGAAATTACACTCGGACTGTTTAGTAACAGGAAATTACACTCGGACTGTTTAGTAACAGGACGTTACATTGTAATTATGAAGGGTACCGGATGTTCCGTAGTAGCTGTTTAGTAACAGGAAGTTACACAGTAACTTTTTAATAACATGATATTACATAGTCATCTCATCTCATCTCATCTTCAACCGCTTACTCCTTCTTCAGGGTCGCGGGAAACCTGGAGTCTATCCCAGGACTCATCGGGCACAAGGCGGGGTACACCCTGGACAGGGTGCCAGTCCATTGCAGGGCGCAATCACCCATCCATACACTACGGACACTTTAGACACGCCAATCAGCCTACCATGCATGTGTTTGGACTGGGGGAGGACACCGGAGTACCCGGAGGAAACCCCCGCAGCACGGGGAGAACATGCAGACTCCGCCCACACAGGGCATCGAACCCCGGACCCTGGAGGTGTGAGGCGAACGTGCTAACCACTAAGCACTATGCATATTACATAGTAATTATTCAAAATATGAAGGTATATACTAAATATTTAGTAACAGGATGTTACATGTCAACTATAATATAATTGTATGTTACATAGTAGCTATTAAGTAACATATTTACAATTTAATATTAATAATAATAATAATAATAATAATAATAATAATAATAAATATAATAATAATATCCCTATTATAAAAAAGGAACAATTTAGTAAGGAGAAGTTAGATAGAATATTTCATGACTGTAAGTTCCATAGTAACAGGATGTCATATAGTAACAATAACTACTGAGTGGTCACATTTTCTAAACTTTTTTTTTTTTCACTTAGAGTGAATATCATGATATAATGCGGTTTATGATAAAATAACCAGGTGTGTAATGAGCATTAAACAGTCACGGATATGTCAGTCCAACTCTAATTAGGAAGAATTCACACCTGACTAACAGGACCTTATTCCAGACAGTTTCAGGTCTCAGGTCTGGCTGAGTCAGTAGCAGAGAGTCCAGCGCAGGGTTCCGGGGGAGGAATTAACTCAGGGCCGTGGCTGTGTTCTGGATTCGGAGCTGAGATAGCAAAGTTAATTACCGCTTGGCCGGCTCGGCCTTTCCTCAGAGTCTGTATAGAATAAGGTTTTCATTAATGGTGTAGAGAAGATCAGCGGTTATCTGTGCCTCCGGAGAGTCGGCGCTGATGGTGGTGGTGGAGGAGATGGAGCGGGAGAGGGAGAGAAATCTCTCGTACAGCTTCTCCATCTAATTTTCAACCGTGCAATTCAGAATGAAATTAATTTCCTCGTCCATCTAATAAATCAAAAAACAAGTGATTGCTGTTGCTGCCAATCCGGTGGAGACACAATGAGATCTCATCGTCTTGCACCGGTCTCTCTCTCTCTCTCTCTCTCTCTCTCTCTCTCTCTCTCTCTCTCTCACACACACACGTACACACAACTTAAAGGGTTCTAACTAAAACGTTATTTTGGAAGTTAAGAATCTTTTTTTTTTTTTTTATCACTCTGTTTATTCAGTTTCTTACAAGAAAGAGAAAATGACGAACTGGAGAGTTGGAATACAATTGAGGAAAATATCAAACCCACAAAACCCACTTTGACCCATCCTCGAGCCATCTGAAGCCCAAAAATGTAATTAAATTAAAGAGTAAGACCAGAAAAAATGATTCTTGGACTGTCTTTAATTAACCAACAAACCCTCAGAGAACCCTTTAAAGAGTGTATAATGAAGCCAATGTACAATATTGGTTATAAGGTTCATAATTTTTTGGATGTTTTTTAGATCGGAGGTTCAGTAGTCACGGGATGTTTGATTTGAGACCTACATAGAACCCTTCAGCCACTAGTCTTTCCCTGTTCTCTGGACTGGATGACTGCACTTACGCCAACCATTACTCTCTAGAAAAGGGTCTAGAACATTGTTTCTGGTTCTGTTCAGAACATTGGTTCAGTTCTGTTAGTTCTACATTAACCCTGGACTTCCTGTTGGACTCCAGTGGAACCTTTAACCCGTTTAACTCGTCCTTAACAACAACAAAAACACTGACATCGATTCATCTTGAGAATACAGGATCTCAGGGGTTTGGCATGATGTGAAGAACGTTGCGTTGTTTTATATATTTCGTTTTTTTTTTCTTTTTATTATTCATAAGGATGTCATGTGATACATTATACATGCCGTGCTTTGTAAGATTCAATGCATGTTTTCCGCATGATTTCCCACCGGAACAGCTGGAGCGGGGGTTTGGAAACGCAGCGTGCTACACTGCCCGAGGCGAACACTTCAAGACCAGCAGGCATTAGGTGTGTGAGAGGAGTGTCTGAGAGTGTGAACGTTCTCCACACTGCAGGACGGAGGAGTCGACAGCTAGGAGGAGTCGGATGTATGATCCATATGATCCAAGTCACTTCGTCAACCAATGGTGCCGTCCCACATAGCTTTTCTATTCCGAAAGTGGTTTCCTGAACACCGAACTCCGTTGTAGGGTTCTACATGAGACCTTTAAGGGTTCCCTAAGGGGTGACAGGCGATAACCAAGCATCTGTTGCTAAATCTGGGCTCACACTCTATCTCTAAATTATGACAGCAGACAACTGTCTTTAACCGGCCTAAAACAACCCATGTCGCACCTCTCTTCATCGCCCTCCACTGGCTTCCTGTAACCGCACGCATCAAATTCAAGGCCTTGATGCTCACGTACAAGACCTTGTCTGGAAAAGCGCCACCCTACCTCAACTCTCTCCTGAAGGCCTACGTTCCCTCACGCGATCTGCGATCGATTAACGAGTAGTACCTACTCAAGGTCCCTTTAGAGAACCTTCACACTAGCTGTCCCTCAGTGGTGGAATGAACTTCCAACCTCAATCTGGAGCGCAGAATCTCTCACCATCTTCAAAAATCAGCTAAAGACCCACCTCTTCTGTGAACACCTAACCAAGCCCTTAAAAATCAAATAATAATAAACAACCTTACTCTGGCTCCTAGACCTCTACTCTGCGTACTTTCCTTTTCTAGAACCCAATTAAAGTTCTTGTACGGTAGCACTACTTGTGTTGTTGGAAAACATGACAAAGATTCTCACCCTGTACGAGTACCTCACCACACGTAATGGTCAAATCCAAAAAGTTACATTTGCACCCACAGATCCGTCATGAAGCAACAAAATTACGTCTAATAGTGGAACCTAGCAATCACACCCTCTAACAATCATCCTCTTCCGAGCGAAAACGTCCGGCGAAGTGATCCGACTCTGCAGGAAGTGAATCATTCATGCCGTGTCTGGGTTTTGGGGGGGGGGGTTAGTCGTCAATGGGAGGTGTTAAACTGAACCCAATGACAGGGTTGTAACCTTGTCGAGATTTGATCCGGCGGACAAAAACGAGAAAATAAACACGACACGCAAACCCGTTATTTCTCCTCGTTGTAAATTCAGTATTCATACAATGACCTAATGATGTTATATTAGATAGCATTTCTGTCATACATGCACCCTTCTGCACTGTGTTTCTGACCAATCAATGGGTTTTACAAGGACGTTTTCAGCCATTGGTTTGTTTAACAAACCAAAAGAATCGATTTCGCTCTGATTCAGACTCGGGAGACGGACTAATAGGTGTGAAAGGAGCGATCTGCAGTCAAAAGTGAAGGTAAATATCCAAACAGCACTCATCGTCTACTTTAATAGGAACACCTGTCCATCTGCTCTTTTATCTAATCGGCCAATCATGTAGCAGGAGCACGATGTATACAATCGTGCAGATACAGGTCACGAGTTTCAGTTAATGTTCACGTCCAAGATCAGAATGAAGAAAACGTCTGATCTCTGTGGCTTTAACCGTGGCATGGTACCGGATGGGCTGGGTTTGAGTGTTTCAGAACCTGTTGATCTCCTTCAACAGTGTCACACAAGTGTTTACACAGAACGGCGCGACAAACAACAACAACAACAACAAAACATCTTGTGAGCGGAGGGTCTGCAGGTTGGTGAGAGAGATCAGAGGAGAATGATCAGACCGGTCTTGAGGTGGATGTATATTTACTGTACACGCAAGATTTCAGCATTATAAACCAATAGTGTCTCTGTTCTAGCGCGTCACGTGTCGAATCCGATCTGATCAAAACCGATCCTGCGTTCCGTGCTATTAGAGCAAGACGTGATGGATAAGTAAGATAAGTTCAAATTTGCACACATTTCTCATGAGATCAGACGGCAGGTTATTATTAACCGTGATACGGATATCCAGTATCGGATTGCTTTACCCCTAGCAGTAAAATAGCAAATATATGTCTATACAAAAAAAAAAAAAGTTCAACCGCGCTGTTGGGAAACATTGATCTGTCCCGGATCAAGAGGTGAGTAAATACCTGCTCTTTTCTTTTTCCGCCGTCACAGAATTAGCCTAACTGCTGCCTTTCGAGCACCAATCCCGAAAGCTGCTTCAAATCCCTGTCCGATGGCGTATTGATTCCCGATTCCCAAAAGGCCAGCAAATAAGATGTTATTTTACGGGGAATTACACCTGGACGGGAAACTTTACTGGTACATACGTGTCGGGGATCTGTCTGTCACAGAGCGGAGGATCTTCACTCTGGAGCTACATCCTGGGGCTACAAGAATCTGATCTCCACACACACACACACACACACACACACACGAAGAGACAGAAAGAGATGCTTTTAAACACCATAACCACTATAAAATTGAGAGTGAATGAATAATCTGGAGTTGGAAGGCATTCCCTTAAACGATCGTTCCCGATAAACCACGGACGTTCCGTTTATGGGATTTGTCAGACGCCCTTATGTTCTTCGTATGGTTCCTCATATGGTTTTCCGAAGATCCAGGAATGAAGGAACAGCAGCAGATGTAAACAAAACCCACAAATATGCCTTGGCACAATAAACCCGAGAAGGAGAGAGAAGAGACTGTGAAGAGATGCAGATGAAGCATGAAGCTTACATGCGGATATGCATATTAGGAATGCGTGTGTGTGTGTGTGTGTGTGTTTTAAATCTCTTGACATCCTGTGACACGTGCCACATCGCATCACGGCAAGGCTAATGTTTGCACGTTTCTGATTTTATTTAGCATCTGGAGCGTGTTTGATCCCCGCTCGGAAACTATCGTTTACAATAGCGTGTGTCATGTCTGAAACGGAGAGAGACGAAATGCCCCGAGGACACAGGTTAATGCGGGGAGGAGACGGCATCCCGAGCAGCCGGCTGTATCTCTTTAACTCGGAATAAATGAGGAGAAGCCACACGTTTTGTTTTTTTGTTTTTTACACGTTATAATCTGGATAAACAAACTGACACGGCGGGACGGTTGACGTGAATTGCTTCGGTTTTGCGAGTAAACACACGTCCGAGGCCTTGAGCGTGAGAGGACGGCCGAGGGATAGAAATGATATCCGATTCGATGAAATTTTTATTCCGATTTTGAAATACAAATAAAAATAAAGCTGTCGGCGGGCGAAGTGTCAGTCAGGGTGGGAT